TGTATGTAACTCTTCGCACTGCTACAGTGGGTCTGTATACGTCTGTGGTGTTGAAGTGGTCTTGATACTTTGGCTTATCTCACGTATGTAGCTCTTCGCACAGCTACAGTGAGTCTGTATACGTCTGTGGTGTTGAAGTGGTCTTGATACTTTGGCTTATCTTACGTATGTAACTCTTAGGGTTTTAGGGTTTAAGTCTGTGGTGTGACTAGCTCTCTTGGAGTGTTTACGTATCTTGCGCTGGTGTGCGCATTCGAAAGGTACCGAGGCCAAACCCTAAAGCTACAAATCGGGGGTGTCTATCGGAAAATTAAATTATCAGAATGACCCCACGAAATATCGGGAATGACGTTGTAATGAGGTTTCACTTCCACGAATATGCAGCTAACACATAACCGTACCATCCCCTACAACATGATGCCATAGTATGTACATGCCACACTACGTGTGTGTATCACATTGTGACTTGGAATCGAATGACTTACCTGTGCGAGTAAGTCTCTTGCCATGCTGGTGCCTACTAGATAGCGTATCTTCTTGTGCAGGACTTTTGCCATGATTTTAATCTTCTTGCTCCGCCGCGCTTTGACCGCAAACGCTCGCTCGTGAATAACATCGGGAATACCTGTGCAGTGTAGAACAGGCCAAGCACGAAGGCAGTTAGATACACAACATAGATGAGCATAAACTTAGATACACGGCATAGATGAACATAAACCTAAATACACGGCATAGATGAGCATACACAATATAGATGAGTATAACGATAGATACACGGCATAGATAAGTATACACAACATAGATGAGCATAAACTTAGATACACGGCACAGATGAGCATAAAACGAATGCTTATAGATATGTATCACACGCAAAGTCGATCAAATTCATAACACAGATGAGCATAAAATGAATACTCCGAAGTAATAGCGACTATGCATCTCACACAGCAAAGGATATGCGAGTTGTACAGGCATACCTACATGCGATCCAGGTGCTTTCGACCATGATTGGGTACTGTACTAGCAGTATACGACTAGCACTACACTAGCAGTATGGGTTAAGCCCATAGCTCTGTTCGAGTACTACCGGTACCACTGGCACAACACCGTAGGAGTTTGTACGCATACGAACGAGTGTCAATCGCCAGTCACGCAGCAAGCGCACATGTGCTGCCCTCTGACATGCACACACAACCAACGCACAGCCTCAGCTGTTCCGCCTACAGTCATCGCCTATGCACTATAGCCTCACTCAAGGCTAATGAAGACTATCTAACCACACACTCGCTGTACACATACTATTCTCGGACAGTTTGATACTCACGGCCAATGAACACTGTCTAACCACACACTCGCTGTACACATATTATTCTCAGACAGTTTGATACTCACGGCCAATGACCACTGTCTAACCACACACTCGCTGTATACATACTATTCTCAGACAGTTTGATACTCACGGCCAATGAACACTGTCTAACCACACACTCGCTGTACACACACTGTTCTCAGACAGTTTAATACTCACGGCCAATGACCACTGTCTAACCACACACTCGCTGTACACATACTGTTCTCAGACAGTTTGATGCCGAAGGGGTCGCTGAAGCGGTCGGTGCTGTTGCTGACGGCAGCCCAGTCGTAGGGAATTGCCAGGTACTCCAGCTCATCGTACGGTATGACTATGTGCTCCTCGTGGTGAAACTGAGGTCAAACGAATGTCCAAATTAAGTTAACGGTGCGGATACTGAGGCCAAAAGAAAGTCCAAATTAAGTTAACGATGCAGATACTGAGGCCAAAAGAAAGTCCAAATTAAGTTAACGGTGCGGATACTGAGGCCAAAAGAAAGTCCAAATTAAGTTAACGATGCAGATACTGAGGCCAAAAGAAAGTCCAAATCAAGTTAACGGTGCAGTTACTGCGGCCAAAAGAAAGTACAAATCAAGTTAACGGTGCAGTTGTAGTGTGAATGCTCGTCGCGTACGCGTGGAAATGGAAATGGACCGAATCGATGTGCGTCTACGTATGTGTACAGGATAATACAATGTAATTATGAGACTGCTCATCGCGTGCGTGTAGAATAGACCGAATCCATGTGCGTGGCTCTGTGTACATAAATCGTTACTGTGCAGTTACAATAATAGTGCTCGTCTCATACGCGTGGTAATAGAACGAATCGAGGTGCGTTTACGTATGTGCATATCTATTGAAGACAGCTCTGATGCGTAAATAATTGGTACAATATGGATGCTTATACACCTACACAGATTCTGTCAATGAGTTTATGATTTATCTGCGCAGTCCATATATAGTTTAATGCTCAAGAGCACTAAACAACGATATAAACTAATCATATGCGTGTCGTGGTGCCGATACTGGAAGGTGTGATAATGGCGTGGAGGTAGATATATACAAGCATTGAAACATAGTTTGTAAACACGCATCATGTGGCAATGTTTCAAAATAAACTTTGCGGAAAAAAGTGCAAACTACCTTAGTGGGCTTCGCGCATACAGCTATACACACAAGCGAGATAGGCTATGTGCCGAAGATCACAACTCTCGGGTGGCCTTAAAACAACAGCATACAATTCACGCAAACGCAGCACTGACTCTTCGCGCCTACCACCACTGCTGAATTTACACCCATCACCAATACACCCGCGCTATTACAATACAGATAGTACACGCACGTGACCATCGGCTATCGTCGTGGTTGTGTACCTCTAATAGTCGAACCATACGTTTCTCCTCCTCCTTATCCACTATGCGGTTTACGGCCCATAAAGTGCGGTACTGTTGGTGGGTACTGAGCCCCAGTTGCCTGTCTCGTTCCAAGGCCGCCGCCAGGATTCTAAAAATAGAACCAGAAAAAAAAAGCCTACAGTCAGATACTATAGTCCGTTTGCGATGATTGGTATGGGTGTAATGGGGTTCGCAGCTCAAAGTGTGCTGCACGGTATGTGCATGCCAGACTACCGCTGACAGTCTTGTCGTTTCACTGACTCACTCGTTCCCGCAAACGCACGTACAGCTATACTTGGCCAATAACCAGATATTCTTCAGTATAGTTATGAGGTATGGACTTGGTAGTAGGTACGGTAGGTAAAATCGGTGCACAAACTTCAACGGCGAACGCTCAATGATGTGATGCATTGCCGAGATAACCGTACATGTAGCAGCATTCAGTACAAGCGTGTACAAACATATATATATAT